TTTGTGAGCCTTACCAGAGATTATACAAGGCTTGAATTACTACAATTCTACCACGTGAGCACAGAATTGCAAAAGCATAGCTTCTACAATCGGAGTCCTCAAACATTCTATTGCATCACCTCACAAATCACCTTTGTCTAGACCAGTCACTTAGGAAAAAGTGGCACTTGCACACACCACACAGACTACAGCCAACTCGCCCATTGGTTCTGTGCCTGTGAGAGAGAAATAACTCACCCTACCAGCAGGTAGCAGTATCTGCCATCATTTCCCCTATAATATTACAGGCATTGTCGCCCATGATATGATTTCCCATAATGCAACTAACAGCAAAATCTGGCTGCTCTTAATGCTAACATGAGCATGGCACCAACTAAGAAGAAGAAACCAAGGGATGCTCAGCCAAAAATACCAACAAATTTCTCCAAAACTTTGGAGACAAATGACAATGAGGAAGAGAGGAGAGCTAGCGGTAAAGGAAGGGAGATTTAAGGGGTCTGTGTTGGCATTAGCATCAGTGACGCAGGTAGATGCTATAGCATAGAAGCTATGGATCAAACACAGGTTTCCCCAGATGAGATTTTGTGACCACCGGTACAAGAATGACTTGGTTGAGGATTGTCAGTCTGGTTTTAGAGTTCATCATAGTGCAGAAATGGCACTGATCAAAGTCACCCAACAATCTCCTCCTAGACTCAAACAAATGGATTAGTCTGTACTTATCCTCCTAGATCTCACTGCTGCTTTTGACACCACTGATCACAACATTTTAAGTACAGAGACTAAAACATTATTGGGATTAAAGGAACTACACCAAGTTGGTCCAAATCACATTTATCAGATAGACTGCAGTTTCTTCAAGTCAATGATGAAACTTCCACATAGACCAAAGTTAGTTATGGTGTTGCACAGGGCTCTGTCCTAGGTCCAGTTCACTATATACATGCTCCTCTGAGGCAATATCATCAGGAAACAGCATACATTTCCACTGCTACACAGATGATACTCATTTGTGAACCCAGCTGAATCAGATCAATTGGTGAAACTTCAAACATATTTTAAAGACAAAAGCTTGGATGACCCATAATTTCTTACTTCTAAACTCAGACAAAATTTAGAAATATGCCAACCAACCATATAATTACTCTAAATGACACAGCCCTGGCCTCAAGTCATATTTGGCCAGGATATGTCCCTTTTTTGTTGTTTTTATAAAGCACACACACGTTTCTAGAACTGATTTCTTCCACCTATGCAATAGCACCAAAATCAGAAACATTCCCTCTCAAAGTGATGCTGAAAAACTGGTCGTGTGATACTTCCAGGCTGGACTACTGTAACTATTTACTATCCCTAAAAAGCCTCCAGTTAATCCAAAATGCTACAGCCCGTGTATTGACAGGAACTAACAAGAGATCATTTTTCTCCCATATTAGCTTCTCTCCATTGTCCCAAGCCCAGATAGAGAGGGTTGTGTCAGGAAGGGCATCCGGTGTAAAAATGTACCAAATTAAATCATGCAAATCAGATTCGCAGACCCCCCATGATAATGATAACCACTTTATTTTGGCCAAGTATGTTATATACACAAGGAATTTGTCTCTGGTACAGAACAGAGGCAGACATCTGTGACACCAACTCATACCAATGGCTCTAGCCATCGGGGGCAACTTGGGGTTCAGTGTTTTGCCCAAGGACAGTTCGACATGTGGATTGCAGGCACCGTGATTTGAACCTCCAACCTTCTAAACAGGAGGTGACTACTCTACCCCCTGAACTCCATGGTCCTTTGAGCTCCTCTCCCTTCTTTCTATGCTACCGTTACACATGACTAACTCTGTGTCTCATTTCTCACTTACTGCTTTCTCTCTCACTGTACCTTTCTGCAAGTATCCTTGGCTCTGCAGTTGTACATTTGTGATGAAAAAAGTCACTAGCTACAACCTGCGTTTGATTGATTGTTGTCTTATTGTTTTTCTTTTCTCTCTCTCTTTTATCCACTCACCCCAACTGGTGAAGGTAGAAAGCGGCCAGGCTTGTTGGTAGCTTCTTTCGTTAAAGGGAGTTTCTCCTCCCAAGTGTTGCCAAGTGTTTGCTAAAGGGGACTTGTTGGGTTTCCTTGTTTTCCAACTTATCTACAATGTCACAACGGTGAATTTTCTTAAATGGGACTTAAAGATTTTTTTTTGTAACTGAACGTATGCTCTAATACTTCCATGCTGCAGCAGCTCAGTTTATACACATCTTGCAAACTCTCACTTGCAAGAAAATATAGCATTCCTTGAATGGTCAATCTCCAGGCAGTTACATGTCTTGACCTTCCTTGCCTGACATCCATTTGACTGCATGTGGGTTTGTGGATATATTTTACCACCTGCTGCTACACTGTGACCAGAGGATGTTGATAAAAATACAGGAACTGAGGTTACTGCATGTCCAGCAATGTTCCTGTAGAGCAGGGGTGGCCAATTCCAGTCCTCAAGGGCCGCTGTCCTGCTTGTTTTCCCAACTATCCCTGCCTGCCCTGCTGCTGATTACCTGGCTCGGGTGTGTTCAGCCAGTGAGAAGCTGGAAGATACCATCTTAGATGAAAGTGGAGTGAGGAAAGATAAAGTGAATTGTATCTTCCACCTTCTGACTGACTGAACACACCTGAGCCAGGTAATCAGCAGCAGGTCAGGCAGAAGTTCAACTACATCACTCAGTCAGTTGACAGGCCTCTCGACTGAACATTTGACTTGTAACTTCCAAAGCCCAATCGTACTTAAAGTCAGCCACCATTATCCCAATCTCCAAAAAGGCCACTTCGGAGGACCTGAATGACTACACAACGGTTCCACTGACACCTATAATAATCAAGTGTTTTGACAAACTGTTCCTCCATCAAAGCTAGCCTTCCAACCTCCTTCAACACTCAATTTGCTTTTAGAGTCAACAGGTCAACTGAGGATGTCACAACCACTGTCCACACTGTGCTGAGTCAGTTGGAACATCACAAGAGCTACTTGAGGATGCTCTTTATTGATTTCAGCATGGAGTTTAATACAATTATTGTAGACAGTGTGGTTGGTAAACTGCTGGGACTTAGGCCTCTACTCCTCCTGAATTAAACATTCCCTCACAGAGTTAAAACTGGCCCCCACATCTCCTCCTCCATTACCCTTAGCCCCAGCTCCCCTAAGGGCTGTGTGCTGAGCCCACAACTTTATTCTCTGTACACCTACAACTGCTGCCCAGCCTACCCATCCAACATCATCATTAAATTAACAGATGGCAACCATTGTCAGGTTCATCTCAGGGGGGGATGAGTCAGTGTACAGGGACAAGGTACAAAAATTGTTGGAATGGTGCTCAGTGAATAACTTGACACCGAACACCACAAAAAGCTGCTGACCCAAAGCTCTGCAAATAGTCATTAATTCTGCAGAAAAGATCACTGGCTGTCCTTTAACCCCCTAATCCATTAACCCCTTAATCACCTCTTAAGTGTTGCTCTCTGGCAGACATTACAAGGCTGCAAAAAACACAAACCAGACAATTTCTTTCCCACAGCCTTCGGCACACTAAATAAAAACAAAAATGTTTACTACTGTAAACATTATCCATTATCCACCAAGCAGCACTTTATTTACATGTAATTAGTTTTGCATTTATCATTATCAACTGTCCTGCATTTGTTTTAAATACATCACCTAAGATTGTGTTATCTACTTTATATTTCATTAGTATTTTGTGGCATTCATGTGGACAGCAAAGTAAGAATTTCATTGTACAGGGAAACATGTTTACTAAATGTGCATATGACAAACACTGACCTTGACCTGAGTGACACCATAAATGTTGTATTCCCTTACACAATAGTTGGATTCTGAATTCTGACCACTGGAGGTCAGCAGGGGAAAGATATTCAGCTGATGTTGCCTGATACAGTACAAGAACACTGAACTCCATCTACCCCTAAAAAGCTTTAGTAATGTAGCGGAACTGTGTCAGAGCCAATTTGATCCCAGCACACAAGCATCCAGTCGACGCACTTCATGTTTTTTTTTTCCCCCCCCGTACGTATCCAGTCCACAATGTTTTTTTTTTCCACGTACGTATCCAGTCCACCATGTTTTTTTCCCCACGTACGTATCCAGTCGACGCACTTCATGTTTTTTTACGCAGTCACCTCCAAGGGTAGCAGTAGTGCACACATGTTAAAATTACCTTTGTATCAATATTTACACAGATATTTAAGATATGTGCATTTCTTATGATAGTAACTGTAACAAGGGAAAGCCGTGAGGATGCACAGGTCGCATCTGGGCGATGTTCTCTCCTCCTAAAATCCTGTGCCTTTAGGATCTTATTGTGAAGTATTGACGTAGGGTAACGAGCGCGCTTTTCAGCATCAATGTAGATGTGGCCGAGACAGAACACGCCAATAGCCATGGAAATACAACAATAACACACCGTCAAAACTAGGTCCGCCTGGCGTGTACAGCAACTAGATGAGGGGTCCATATAAGGACAATGGCAGCTCACTACTAAATCGCCGACGTTGCTGTAGCTCCTACAGCAGTCTGCGGGAAGTGAAAAAAAGGCTGTATCGTCCATTACGTAACCTGATTTGGCTTTCCGACCTCATGTTTGAGTGTTCGCCATTCCTATAACATAATGCGTGCTGAAAAAAGTAGGAACCTCGTAGACGCAACTACTTAACTGAAGAAGACGACCTTCTCTCATTGTTGACATATGTCGACGATGAGACAAGTAAATACAAAACCAAAAATACCAGCACTTTCGATTTTGAATAACATCGGTTCTAAACCCTACCCTAACCTACCCATTGGTATAGATGGAAAATATTCCGTTGTAAGGTAAATTAAACAAGCTGCGTCATACAGAGAGGTGTCATTACATTTTCTTATTAGCCTACTGCTTGTTACATTTAACGCTAACGTTAAATGAACGAACGCCAAAAACGTGGACACTTCCCTCCAACACACAACACTTACCTAATCTCCACATTTCGCCTTATTTACCGCATTTCTCCACCCTCGACAAGTTTGGTCAAAACCGCCGTAAAGGGCCTCTAACCAATAACTTTCGATTCCTAAGGTGAAACTCTGCTCCGGAAGACTAAAAATAAATTCCATTGGTGAAGTTATTATGATCCATGTGTCCGAAACGCCGAGTACGCGTTTCCTCAAACACGGTCCCACAGAATTAGTCGTCCTGTTGTACGGAGCTCCACTCTCAACGACTAGTATCGATACTTAGCCAAGAGAACAAAGAAAGGCAGCCCGAACAATTTATATGATGGTCAGCATGAGCTGTGATTGGTGGGTTTTTGAAATGGGTGTGTATCATTTCATAAGGAGGACAGGGGAAAGCAACTAAACTGGATGGTTTCAGTCAAAATCCCACTCTTAAAGCGACACGAAACAAAACGTCCAATTCTATTATTATTATTATCATTATTATTGTTGTTGTTGTTGTTGTTAATGTGAAGAGCATGTCAAAAAGCTACAACATATCACATTTTCATAAATTAGCAGAAGACTCCGCTGTCGGCTCCGCCTTCAAGTTCCGTCTATAGAGTTTCCTGCCATCACACTAAGGACCACAGGCAGACCCCGGGCGGACTTTTTTTTAATGCTTTATTGAGAAAAAAACAGTATGGAAAATGAACAGAGCCAGGGGTTGAGATAGAAAATAGGTTAAAAAAAACTCATAAAAATTGTATAAAGTACATATATTTACAGCTTTAAAAGCTTTTTTGTTCATAGAATATGGAATTGTTTGAATGCACTGAGACAGTTAACATCAAATACTGAGAAATGTGGCGTCTGATTAGAGAACTTACATTTATGAATATGATATTTTGTTAACAAGAGTATCAACATGATGACAAAATATTCATTCACTTTAGCAGAAGAATACTGCTTACAGAAGCAATACTGAAAATACTGACATCATTCCAAAGTTTATGAGAATGGGGACAAAAACAATGGTCCAGAACTTCAGGATATAGTTCAAATCGTTCAGATTATAACTGTCTCTGTTGTTCAGAGGGTACCGGAGAAAGAGTTCCTCGGGATTTCGGAATATGCTAAAATATACTATTTTCACAGTTGCCTAGCCAGACAAATATCCCAGACATTACTTCTTTACTAATTTTATTCAGAGATTGTGCCAAATCATGTTACATTAACATTACAGCACCTTAGCGCTAGCTAATGTAATGTTAACATTAGGTAACCCTAACTTAACTTACATAGCTTCTATGTTTGAGTTAAAAGTCAGCTACATTAAAACACCAAAATATCTGTAATATTTACCTTTTAAGGTTAGTTAACGTTAGTTAGCACTTTTGAATTAGCTATTCATGTGTGGGCAGCATTTAATGAGAAGTTTGTTGTCTAGCTGAGGTTAGCTTAAAGAACCCATGGCATGCTTTTCTTTGTTTTTGTTTTTTTTTTTACATACAGTATCTACAATCTTACAAAGGTGAATTATCATCTTAGATGTGACCGAAAGCTCAAAAAATGAGGTGTACGTATGTTCTAGTACTTCTATTTATACAGCTTTTGCTGTATAAATAGAAGCTTTTTCTAATAAAATAAAGTATGAGGTGATAGTTTATGGATTTCCTGAAATGGTCAGAATCTCCAGGCAGTTGCACGTTCATGTGAGCTTGCCTGACATCCACCGGTGCCATTTTAAAAACAGAATTTTTTGACTGTCTGGTTTTGTGGATATTTTTTTTACCTCCTACTGCCTGCACTGTGACCAGAGGATGTGGAGAAAAATACAGATCCTGAGGTTACTGTATGTCTGTCACCCCCACTGTGAGGCAGAGCACATCGAGCTGGCGCACTCCCCCTGGGCCACTTGCCCTTTCTGTGTTTGCTTGCTCGCAGCGAAGAAGCAGCACTGGGCTGAGGCATTCGTGACTATCAGAGAACATGATCCTGATGATGATGGCAGCTGGGTGAACCATGGTGACGATCCCTTGGCGGATGGCCCCATGAAGTTCCTCAGCTTAGACAGCATAGAAGGGTCCGAGTCCATTGGCTCACTTCCCTCTATTGCTGGCTCCCCTGGGTCTCCCCTTGACCCATTGGTCGACATGGATGCCAGGAAGGATGAGCTCCCTCCAGCTCAGCAGCACGCCCTCACCATCAGCCAGCCTCCGGTCTTTGGGGCTCTGCTCCGCAATCTGCTAGATATCATCAGAAGGGTGGCAGACCACAAGGGCATTCCTCTCCAGCCAGCTGCCCCCACTCTGGAGACAGAGCAACAGAGCAAGCTCTTTGGAAAGCACCTCTAAGAGGCTGTCGCTCGCGAGCAGCAAGCATCTGATGAGGGGGAACGATTGAGGCATCTCGCTTCATGGTCAGTGCCCTGTTAGGGTGATTTTCATTTTTAGATAGAAATGAATATAATTAGTTAGGGTTTTTATTATATAGCATACATAAGTCTATATCTTTAATCTAACAGTTGTGTTTATGTTTATGTAGTGACATATCTATATATCACCCTATGTGTTCACTGAATCACTGCTCAGTATTTACTGTGTTAGCCAACTGAAGCACTGTTTAACATCAAGGGGACTGGTTCACTAAAACACTGACTCTCATTAGATTTATAGCTTTAGCAAAGAGGGTCCACAGTTAATTTATTATCACCACCTGGCTGAAGAGGCCAGGGAATTTGGGGTCACTGGGACACCAAGGGTAATAAACAAGAGACTAGATCTAAAAGTCAGGAAGAGGAAGACAACTTCAAAGGCAGGGCAATATACAGACACA